TCTCTGGATCAATCAACAAATACAAACTTAAAAATAATAATTAAAAGTTCAGGGAAAGACCCCACCAAGCGACACTTGACATAGAGTCAGATAGTATTTATTTCTCCCCACCAATAACATCACAATGGTACCTAAATATATAACAAATAAAAAAACAACAGCAATTGTACAGTGCAATTCTTCTGAAACTGAAAAGATATCTGCATTCCCAAAATCAACTGGGAAAGAGATACAATTCCCAGGTTCCTGGAAGAGATCTAAGCTTGTAGGAGAGATTCCAAACAGTTGATATAAACCATTATAACAACATACTAAAATAAAATTTTACCACATTAAAGATCTATAGAGAAAATATATATGCACCAGAGAGAGAGAGAGAGAGAGAATATATCTGCATTCGTATTAACCAATCTGTGAATGCTCATTCTGAGAAATCAAAAGAAATTAAATGCATTTTCCCAAACTGACCGCATATCAAAAGACTTAAAGAACAAGGCGCGGAATCAAAATGAATAAATGAATGACAGCCATAGAAATACTATAATGCTGCATATTTTATCGAATTACTAGAATTGAATGAATTAGATATGTAAATATCAATCAACCACAAGAAGCGAAAGAAGAACAAAATACATCCAATAACAATAAAGAAAAAAAAGTACTAATCTTCCGCTACATTGACTCTAATCGCAATAACGAAGAGAAATGCAAAACCTTCTTATATCAGACATGAATATATCAGTCCATCAAGGCTGCTGCTGTGCATCCAAATACCCAGCATCAACAAGCACCCTCTCCCTCTTTGCCAATTCAATGTCCTCATCCACCATCATTTTCACCAATTGCTCAAATCCAACCTTGGGCTTCCACCCCAGTACACTCCTCGCCTTGGTCGAATCTCCCTTCAAATTATCCACTTCTGCCGGCCTAACATACCGTTTGTCGATCACCACGTGATCTCTCCACTTCAACCCAACATACCCAAATGCCACCTCCAAGAATTCTTCCACCGTATGAGACTCTTCCGTCGCCACCACGTAATCATCCGGCTTGTCCTGCTGAAGCATTAACCACATCGCTTCGACATAGTCTCCCGCAAACCCCCAATCCCTCGAAGCCTGCAAATTGCCCAAGAATAGTTTACTCTGGAGCCCGACCTTGATCCGGCCCACTGCTCGAGTTATCTTGCGAGTCACGAAATTCTCACCACGGCGCGGCGATTCGTGATTGAAGAGAACCCCGTTGCAGGCGAAGATGCCGTAAGCCTCCCTATAGTTTACAGTGTACCAATGCGCAGCACACTTGGCAGCGGCGTAAGGGGATCGGGGATGAAATGGGGAGGATTCTGATTGGGGAGGTGGTGTTGATCCGAACATTTCGGAGGATCCGGCCTGGTAGTAGCGGATGTGAGTACGGCCAGTGGCAGAAATATGGGATCGTACGGCTTCGAGAAGGCGGAGGGCACCGGTGGCAACGACGTCGGCAGTGTAGTCGGGGATCTCAAAGGAGACGGCGACGTGGGACTGGGCGGCGAGGTTGTAGATCTCGTCGGGAAGGATGATGTCGAGCCAACGGCGGAGAGAGGAGGCGTCGGTTAAGTCAGCGTAGTGTAGCTTCATGTGAGCCTTATGGGAATTGTGGGGATCGATGTAGATGTGATTGATGCGCTGGGTATTGAAGTTGGAAGAGCGGCGGATGAGGCCATGGACCTCGTAGCCCTTGCTGAGAAGGAACTCCGTGAGGTAAGAACCGTCCTGACCGGTGATACCAGTGATCAAGGCTTTCTTGCGCCCCTGTGGCTGTGAAGGGGTTTTCGGCGTGGTGTGTCCGCCGTTGATTGCAGCGGCAGATCCGGATGTAGAGGAGGTGTGATTTTCGGAGGACGACATTTTATTGCTTGTTAGCAACAACTCTCTCTGTTCCTATTTTCTGGTTCTGTATTTATTTCTTTGATAAAGTAGAATTGATCGACGAGGAAGAGGATGAAGCGAAACTGGAAAGAGAGAAGAAGCGGAAGACGGAGGAGAGGGACTCTTCTCGTTATTAATTTTAAGATCACGACTGGGTCTGGGTGGGAGGAGTCAGCAGTGGAGGCTCGTTTGGTCTTCCTTCTAAATTCGTCCTGTACTACTCTCAGGTCTCTGCTCACACGACGGTGACGCTTTCTTTGTTTTATTTCAGCAGTTGGTTCATTTCATTGCTTGGAAGTTGGGACTTGGGACTTGGGAGGACCGGAAGTTAGTCGATACTCGACACTTTAAATATCTGGACCGTTTCTTTGATTGTCTAAAGATGTCCGGTCCGGACGATGGATGATTAGATATTTGGATGGTTGATGGACTTAGAGTTGGACTTTTCTGCCATCGACTATAAGCAGCTGGATATGCGGGTCCACACTCCACAGTGAGGATGTTTCAGTTTTCTTCATTCGTGTGTGTCAAATTTGAGAATCCGAATCCCACCGACAGATACATGGAAATGGAGTTCACAATTCACATCTGCGCCCCACAATGTTCCACATCGCATCCTCGCCTTGTATTATATTAGATCCGACGATGTCTTCATCCGAAAATATTTCTAATACAAGGCGGAGATGCGCTGTGAGAGACCGATCTGAACTCGTATAACTTAGTCGAGTCTTCTTTTTGTTTGTTTTTTGTGTGGAGGTGCTATTATTTTACCTTAACATACGAAGCTTGAATATCTTATCCTTCGCCAACCTGTACTATTAGGTTTACATCCTTGAGTTCCTGTTGATGCGGGTGCAAATTGGGCTGGCCCAACTCGAACTTGGACCGATCCGTCCCATAATTTTATGAATTTTCGGTTCACAGGCATATATACATAAATAAATGCAGACATATATATGTATGTATAAATATATATTTATATCAAATTTTAATTTGAAGTGATTGAATAACAAGAGCTTGGCCTAGGCTCAAGTCCAACGTACATTTTAGTATGGATTAGACCTAGGTTAGACAGTTTGGACTTGACTTTACACTTGGGCCTTGATGATCAAAATATCAATACACACTGACACAAGAAATGGGATATTGGTTTGCATCAATAGACTGATACTCTTTTTTTTTTCATTTTATCAGCCTGAATAATTCTCAAACAAGTTTAGAGGGATGCCTTCTATCATCCAAAATGTTCAAAACCCAAACCCTGTGTATTTCAGTGTATCCATGACCTTGGATTGGATATAGATGCAATACACCCAAAATTTTAGTCCTACTTTTGAGCCTTCGACAATACAGGATAAAGCCTCCATTACAGAAAAAAAAAAAAAGAAAAGAAAAGAAATATTGCTTTGTCTTTCGATTAAAACTGTATTCTCCTTGTCTTCTTCAGTAGGCCATTCGTGGGCCGGCACGGTTCAGTACGACTTGGGTAATATTAGGCCCAGCCCCGTCACTGTAGTAAGCCATACCATGCCGGGCTTGGGTTACACAGCATGGAGTAAAATCTTAAAATTGTATATATTAAAATTTATATGGAATAAAATTGCAAGTTTTTTCAATTTTCTATTTATATTTTTTTTCAGTTTTTTCTAAAATATCATATCGCCCACGGCCTAGTACAGCATGAGCCCACCTGGGTTAATGCTGCAGGCCATGCCTGACTTCCCTTTTGAGCCAAATGGGAAACCAACTCACCTTTCCCCACAGAGATTTTCTAGTTGTAATGTACAAAATCTTATCTGGCATTCTTATGGGACCTTTGACGACTTTCAGCGTTTTGTGTTTGGGATAATAGCATATAAGGGCAACTTTTGGGGTTTAATATTAATAAAAATAATATTCAAAAAAAATTAAAGATATATTAACTTTTTAAAAATAATATTAATAACGTGTAAAAACACTGTTCATCATCTTCTTTTTGCCATTTATTCACCAGCGCCGTCGTCCGCTGCTGCCTCCGCCAACGTTGTCGGAGGTGGCCAGAGGCAAAGGTGGCGGCAGTGGCGCTGGTGGTCATTCCTCTGCTCAACGCCGCCATCTCTGCCCACCTCTGCCTCCGGCCACCTCCGGCAACATTGCCAAAGGCAGAGGCGGTGGCGGGCGGCGGTGCTGGTGAATAAATGACAAGAAAAAAATGATGAACAATGTTTTTGCCTTTTTATTGATATTATTTTAAAAAAGTTTAATTTTTTTTTTTAAATATTACTTTTATTGATATCAAATGTACTATTACCCCTTTGTTCTTTGCACTACTCACAAGGTCAGCAAAGCTGTTTATGCCTTCACCCCAAGTATGATGCTTTATCAGATAATTAAAGAGAAATAACAAACTTTGTCTAAATTTTTTACATTTTGCAAGATGTCAACTGATTAGTTGTAATTCTGATGGGTGGACTTGCTCCTGCGCAAACCAGGCATGACAGGTTTCATCATTCCCAATGCCATTGTTTTGACTTTGGTTGTCTAGTAGAAAGAAGTAAAATAGAGAAAACTAATCCAAATGCAAATGCAACTTAGGAGGTGTTTATCGATGTAAATTGTTTTCACTTGTTCTTGTTTTCTTTTACTTTTTCTTATTGTGAGTTTCAAAAACAAATCAAAATCATTTGATCTGATTTGATTTGAAAACAAATTGATTCATTAAACAAAAATTGAAAACTCAAAGCACAGTTATAATAGAGGAGGTTTTGTAGAGAAGAAGTAAATGATCCTTTATTATACTTACTCTCCCTTACACTTGGTGGTAAAAAGACTCTACTCCTTTCATAGTTCATACAAATAAAACATCACAATTAAAGTCCTATTCTAACAAAATAACTTGACACTGACTAAAAGAGATTGACCGCGCAAAAGAAACTTCTCCTAATATGAAACAAACTAGGACTCGGGTTTTCTCGATTTACTATTTCCTAACAGACTCTTAAATCGAGATCTTCAAATGTAACCATTCATTCCCAACATCTTCTTTAGCTGGTCAAACCTATCGGCCTTTTCTACAATTTGATCTTCTGATTGACAAAACTCAAGGACAACCTCTTTGTCTTTCACTCTTTGATAGTGCAATTGCCAACTTATTGTCACACATTTTCTTAATTTGTTGGAACATTCTGCTTGTGATGATGCAATTCATTAAGCATCCGCCTTAACCATATCACTTGTGTAGCAGAGTAAGCTGTTGTAATATATATTCCACTTCTGCTGTAGAAGGTGCAACCAATTACTATCAGTGTATCCTACCAATTCAGATTTCTCAATAACAACAGAGTAAAAAATACCACTATATATCTTGTGTACATTTTACATAGCGTAAAATTCTTTTTGCAGCCTGCAAGTGTGATTGGTTTGGGGATTCCATAAATATGCTAATAATTCCAACCCTATATACAATATTTGGTTTAGTAGAAGTCAAGTATCTTAAACTACCTACTAACCTTTTAAAGCATGTGAGATTTACCCCCACAGCACATCCCCACCGTCATCATCGGGAGATGTTCTCAAATTGGATTACACGGCGGGGATGTGGTGTGGGACGTTGTGGGGGGCTGATACGGTCTCCTTCAATTGGTGTCCGAATTGGATTACAAGCTTCCATCTTGAATCATTTCAAAATATGGTTAGCATATTTTCTTTGTGAGATAAACATACCTTTCTCTGTTTGGGTTTTGGGACACCTGAATGGCAAGAAAGTAGGACCAATCATAGCCTCCCTAAATTCTTTAATCATCAACTGATTATTCCCAGCAAGTAAAGATCAAATCATGTACATATAGGCAAACAATGAGCATTGTACCTTGTTCATTTGTCTTGACATACATACAGAGTGTATTCATATGGACACTTTTGAAATCCATGCTTCTAAAAACAAGTATCAATACGAGTATACCAAGCCCTTGGCGCTTGCTTTAACCCGTGTAATGCTCTTTTTGGCCTATAGACCTGATTTTCTTTTCCTTCTTTTACATAACCTAAAGTATACTTCTTCTTCAAGCACACCAATACTTGAAAATAATCAATACCAAGTTTTTGTTTATAACCTTTGACAACTAACCTGGCTTTTAAATGATCTACTTCTTCGCTTGGCTTGTATTTGTTTTGTATACCCACTTAACACCAATTGAAGAATAGTAAATTTCCAGAGTGTCATTCTTTTCAATTGCATGAATTTCATGGCCTATGGCTTTAATCCACCTGTGATCACGAGATGCCTCCTCGGATGGCATAGTTTATCATGTCTTCATCCGAAATATCATCGATCACTGATCACTTCAGCGAGCAGGCATGACATGTTGACATTGAGGACGTCTCGATGGTTGTCCTTGTGTTGGCACAGTATTTGGTGGTGGAAAGTGTTAGCAATTGGTAACATACTTTGTTCTTCAAATTGTTTTTCTTCATCATTCCAAAACAAACCAACCTTGTTGCCTTTCCTCCTTTTGAGTCCAATCCCAAACTCCTTGTTCATCAAACGTAACATCTCGACTAGTAATAACTTTTCATGTATCTGGATTGTACAGCTTGTAACCTTTTGTCACATTTCTATACCATACTTATTGTTGGTTTTATCGTCAAGCTTCTCACCCGAACACCCTAATGTGGAGTCATGTTTTGAACAAAACACTTTTTGTGGATTCAACAAGTAAATAGCACATGTAACTACTTCAGCCCACAATGAACCATATCCATGGGGAGTGCTTCTTGCAGTTAATTAGTTGACGTTTAATACTACATTTTTCAAAAAAGGAGTTACTTGCAGTATACTCTCCTCCCCTACCAGTCCTCAACACTTTAACTGGGTAACCACTTAATTTGCTTTTCAACCTAAGCCTTAAAGGATTTGAAAATATCACACGCATCTGATTTTTTGTTTCAAAAAATAAATCCAGGTTTTCCTATATGAGGAACTTCCAATGGCCCACATAGATCTGAGTGAACTAACTCGGATGGCCTTTTGACTCCCTAAAAAAGTAATTTCCCATGATGCAAGCAAGCTTTACAAACTTTATTAGAAAATTTAATCATAGGTAGCCCAAATACCATGTTCTTTAAGTGCCCATGCCCATAACGCATGTACCAATGTACCATAGCCAATCACCACAATCCAACATTAAATAGTTGTCACAATGAACATATAAAGGAAATAAACGATTTGGAGACATCTTTACCTTTGCAATTAGTCCCTTCTCATCATCATTGATGTTGTAAACTCCACTGCTTATTTGTATGTCATATCCTCTTTCTGAAAGTTGTCCCAAACTCAGGAGAT